ACTGGTGAGGTGGAAGACAGGATGGCCAGCAGTAGGTGGAGCCACAGCTAATGAGAGGCAAAGCCAATTAATTCTAGTTTTGTCACCATCATTCTCCCTGCTGAGTTCTACAAGGGCAACACTGAGCCTAAGCTGACAGACCTTGCACTCTGAACTGGATGTAAGTAAGAAGGCCAGAAGGTGGGGGCTGGCTGAGGACACGATGAGGTTGCTGGGCAGAGCTGGATTACAAATAGGCAGAGTAGGCTCCATGACAATGGATCAAAATAATATTGATTTTATCTTGAAAGAAAATTGCAAGCATGCTTTCTTAGTTCAATGTTATCCCATTTAGAGCACATGCACAAGAAACCTCCAGATACAAAGTTTTCTGTGAGTTAGATTCTGGTAGAATATTTGTAAGTAGCCAAGTAGAAGCTTCGAGATAATTTGCAAGACCCCCCCCCCCCAATTTTTTTTGACTGCCTGGGGCCTCCACAGGGTTTAATCCAGCACTGTTGCTGGGGCAGTATCCTATTGAACCTAATAGGCCAGCTTCTCCTGGAAGTAAGCACACCTCAATGAGTTTAATGGAGCTTACTCGCATGCAGTAAAAAATGCATAGAATTGCAGTCATGCTGATCCTAATAAACTGGGTGTTATGCTATATACTGTTGACTTTATATATGCACACACATGTATACCCCACACTCCACCACCACTATGCCTCTGGTGTCAGTAATAGGTGGTAGGTCATGAGATCAGAGGCAGATATAGGGGCAGGGCACAGAGTCAAGGGACGTCTTCCTGCATAGTATGCTCTTGCTTCGGGAAGGAGGCATGAGGGCTCTGGCAGGGTCCTAGAGCCAGTGGCGGACCTTGGTGTCTCAAATTTTAGTGGTTCCCTGTGTGATGCCAAAATCGGGCACCCCCTGCCTCTCGCCTTCCACTGGATGTCATAGTTGCAGTGCCTGCTGCAGCACCCCATACATTCTGTGCCCGGTTCAACCGCCTTTGCTAGAGCTCTCCATAGCCCTTCCCAAAGCTGAGCAAGCAACTAGGCTTTGGGAAGGAGTCAGGAGGACTGTAGGAGCCAGAGCCTCATGTCTCCTTCCCAAAGTCTGCTTAGGCAGGGGGCATCAAATTTTAGCTGCACAGATGACACCATATTGCCAAAGTCCACCCCTGATGTGATGTGGTGTGCCTTCTCTTTGTGTAGCAGCTGATAGTGGAGACACCCATTTAACAGTTATGTAGAAGCCAGGGATTTTTAGCACATTCATCTTTTCTCACCCCTGCACCTTGCAATGGCAAGCTGTGTCAGCTAAACTTCCATATTTCTTTGACACTTTCAGCATCAGGACTGGTCCTCCCATTATGCAGAGTGTGGTGACTGCCGCACGCAGCAGCTGCTGGGTGTGGCTGTGGCAGTCCCCTCCTTTTTCTACCATTGCCCCACAATCTCCCCACAACGGCCACCATTTTAGGATAGATCTGTTGTGTGCTAAACAGTCCGTGCCACACATCCTAAACTTGAGCTGAAGTACGCTTTCCTGTTGCCAGGGTGGAAGCCAGTTCAGTTGGCTTCTGACTGTGGATGGGGGGGGGGTGTTTAGCCATCTTGGCCTCAGGTGGCCAAAATGACTTGGCTGAGCCCTGATTAAAAGTGCAACAGCACTATCCTCAGTGCCATTTTGTCACCATAGTAACAGAGGGTTGACCTAATTCATAAGAATGTGTGAAGCCACATTACACTGAAGCAGGTCATCATTTTATCAATGTACCTTCTTAACTGGAGAAGCCAGGGACTGGTACCTTCTGCTCTTCCTGCAAATTATTGAGCTGTGTGCGGTTAGTCCACCATAACTGTGGGCTGAGAAATTAGGGGACGGGGATCATTTCACTGAATTTCTTCTGAGGAAGGGGGAATTCTGTCGAGTTGCAGCATTGTTCAGTTGCAGCTCGGCATCCAGAGGAAAATCAGTCTCACACCAAGATAGGTTCCGAAATATGGCTGCTCCTAGGGCTAATGCAGCACAGCTTTTATTGTGTGAAATGTGTGAAATCAGAAAGATACAAAAAATACAAGCCAAGCAATTTGTTCTAGCCAGCAGATAAAGACCTTGGTACTAGACCATGCGAGCGATCAGGCCATGTTACGTTAGCCAATCATATGGGACAGCACGAGCTGTTCACGCGCTGTTCATGCTCCAAGGATGCTTCTAGCTATGAAATCACCCTGTAACAATAAGAACTTTGCTCATGCTCTCATGTACAAGCAATCATTTTCCCACATGTCCCCTTTTCTTGTTTATATTATTAGAGGAAAAGAGGGACCATTAGTCCAAATCGTACACTTCATTGCCTAAGCGTCTACACTTTGCAACATAAATTCCTCTTGTAACCCCTGTGATGGGCCGTGGTCGGTACCACCATGCAGTGCATTGGGAAATCAAAGAGGGTATGCATTGAATGCAACAACACACCATAATGAAGCCAGCAATACATGCAATTACAATCAATAATATTTTTCTTAACCATACTCCATTAGGTAACCAAGAAGACAACCACTCCCATGGATCAAAACCTTCAGTGGATTCAAGGATTATGGGCTATCATTTGTTCCATATGATCAATAGTAGCAGAGATATTGGTCGATTGATCAGTTATATACATGCAGCAATGAGAATGAATTAAGGCACAAATTCCACCTTTAGAAGCAAGGATCACATCTAAAGCATAATCTAAAGCTTTGTACATGAGAGCATGAGCAAAGTTCTTATTGTTACAGGGTGATTTCATAGCTAGAAGCATCCTTGGAGCATGAACAGCGCGTGAACAGCTCGTGCTCTCATGTACAAGCAATCATTTTCCCACAGAATTCTCCAACAGCTTCTCAAGGGCAGGGCTCACCATTGGCAGTGGCACAGACCTTATTCTTTTAAGGCTGCAGGTGGCAGCAGCCACCGTGTTGGCATCCTGGACAACATTTTCCACTCTTCAGGTAATGCACCATACCCAGGCTACATACACACCATACATTTAAAGCACATCTCCCTCCTCCAAGAATAATGGGAAGTGATTCTAGTTTACACCCTCAGCTATAATTCCCAGCACCCTTAACAAACTACAGTTCCCCAAATTATTGGGGGGGTGCTTTAAATGTAAGGGGTGTGTGCGGCCATAGTGTTGGTTCAGGACACTGTATGTTGGGGAATGGTGACTGCCACAAAAAATGGTGAAGAATATAGGGGGGTGGGATCTGCGAAGTGGCCTCCCCCCCCCAAAAAAAAAGAAATCTCAGAAATTTTGTCAGAAAAATGTCTTCTGAGAAATCTTGGCTCAATTGGTTCAGCATTAATTTATCCCTTTCCTGAAACTGCCTTCACTGCATGAATTTTTAAGAGAGATGCCTGAAGGCACATTTTTATCCCATGAAAAATAAATTCCAGCCTAGATATTGCTTCCTGACTTGACCCCTGAGGTTAGAAAGAGCAGCATTTTATCAGCTTTGAACTTTCTCCTACCACTTCCACAACTACCTATTTGTAATGGGGAGGAAGAGAGAAGAAATGGAAGGCTTAATAAAAACAAAGAGAAATTAAAAATGAGGGTGTTTTTTTTAAGCAAGTAGACAGTGCTCTCATTTTGCTTTATGGTGATGCATGAAAGACATATATGCTAAAAGAGTTTCACAACAAAAATTTAGAAATAAAGTGTTCTAAATATATCTCTATCGTTTCTATATCTAATATATTGGTCCCTTACAACACTATGTTTCTATTAATATAAATTTGCAAACCTATACAAATCCAAATAACAATGAATACAGTGGTACCTCTGTTTAAGAACAGCCCTGTTTACGAACTATTTGGTTTACGAACTCTGCAAAACCGGAAGTAGTGTCCTGGTTTGAGAACTTTACCTCAGTCTAAGAACAGAATCCAAACTGGAAGGGCACCGCCGGCGGCAGGCCTCATGAGGGAAAGCACACCTCGGTTTAAGAACAGTTTCGGTTTAAGAACGGACTTTCAGAACGCATTAAGTTTGTAAACCGAGGTACCACTGAACAGTATTATAAAACCACAACAATTATGGATCACGGGCAATGTGTCCCTTTCAACGACAAATCTTTCTTGAGTTATTGGTAGCTTCAGATTTAACTATTCATGCTGGAATTTGACAAAGAACATTTCCCTAAAAAAATCAGAAGCTATCAATGACTTGAAAAAGGCTCATAGATGAAATGGTCTTTTTACCCGCACCAGCTAGTTAGCATTAACTTCTCCTGGTGGTGAAATGCTGCATATTCGAGCATCTGTTTATGTTTTGCGCTTTGTATGTCTGTGACCTCTGCTGATTTCTGAGGATGGCTGTCAGTGTTCTAGGCCTTGTGCTGTTCCTATGTTGCAGGCCTGTTTAGAAGTAGCAGAAGCTGCGTTATGCTATATACCATCAAAGCACATTGTTTCCCTCAAAAAAATTCTGGGCCCTGTAGTTTACTCCTCACAGAGTTACAATTCCCATAATCCCTTAACCAACTACAGTACCCAGAATTCCTTGAAGGACAGAATGTGTTTCCAATATGTTTTAAAGGTATAATCATCAGGGCTTTTTTTGCAACTGGAACTGGCCAGAACTCAGTTCTGGCACCGCTCAGGTGGGTGCCATGGCCATTAACAGAGTTCATGGTGAGTTCTGGCACCGCTTTTTCTAGAAAAAAAAATAGCACTGGGTATAGTGTGTACACAAGAAGATAGGGAGGGAAGGAGAATGAGAATGGCTTTTTAATATTTATAGAAGGGGTCTGGGTCAGGTAAATTCATTTTGATTGGTCAGGGGACTAACAAACTGACTGGTCAGTGAAGAAAGGGCAGCTAACTGCCTGTTGAGAGAAATGATGGCAGCTGGAAGTGTTGGCTGAAGATGGAAGTGTGAGGCAAAGGCTGAGGTGAGGGTGGGTAGCTGAGCCTTCAGAATTAAGCTCTTCCTCCTGGTGTGATAATGGTACTTTGCTGGCAAATATAAGAGGAAGGGAGCCAGTGGCTGTGTTGTGCTATGAGGCTGTGTAAAGTTCTTACTGGAATAAGGTGACACAAATGTTTTGGTTTAAAAAATAATAATAATCAGCTGAAGTATTTGGAAATTCAACTGGAAGAGATTTGAGGATAGATGGGGTTGTGAGTGAATTTGGCTGTGCTGGAAGTTTGCCCTGAAGTAAAAGCTACTCGGAGGCTAGCGTCAGGGTCAATGTCTCTGCCTTAGCATGGACCAACACTGGAGGGTATAATAATTCACTCTCAGGGAGTACCTTCACAAAAAACCCTACATTTTATTTTATTTATTAAGTTTAAATCCTATGCAGCCATAGGTTCTCGCAGTGAATTACAGGGAAGTGTTATTTTGGCAAGGGTTCTGAGAATTCGCCATCAGATATTCCCCTCCTCCCTTAAAAAAAACAACAACCCCTCTTTTGTAGAAGTATAATTCTCACTGACTTCCCTGGGAAAACAAACATCTGTCACAGAGGCAGTGTGGTGCAGTGGTTAGACTGCCTATGACCGGACACACCCAGATTCAAATCTCCTCAACCCATGCCACCAAACTCCCTCAGCAACCTTGGACCAGTCACATTCTCTCTCAGCCTCTCAGTGTCGTTGAGAGAATAATTGAGGTAGGTAGAATCATATCGGCTGCCTTGAAATCATTGTGGGAAAGGTTGAATATAAAAGTAATAAATAAATTGGCTTGAACTGTAAATACAATCGGAGAACTAATTCATATACCATTGTTTTGTCCTGCTCCCATCTTGTTTTTCTTTTCTGTGTTTTTGTATGCGGATGAGATGATGTATCACTTTGTCTGAGCAGTGCATACGTCTCCATTACTATTTTATTTTTCCTTTGCTGGGCGTGAATGTCACACTTTGAGAGAGAACAGAAGCTCCAGATGTGAGATATTTTGGCCAGCGCCCTTGAACATCACATTTAATAGATTTTTCCTTTTGTGATGGGTTTCTTTCCAACTTAAAAAAAAAAAGCAGTTTATTTGCTGGTACATGTGATCACAGCTGCCCAAAATGCCACAGTCTTCTGAGGCAAGTCTGGGCAGCAACATGAGTGTGGAAAATGCTTCACAGCAGCAGACTGCCTGCAAAATTAATGCCTGGGGGATGGCAAGGCAGGGAGAATGTGGATCTCCACTTCCCCTGAAAGAGGTGGCCGCAAGCATCTGATGATTCTTGCACTTCTCTTTAATGATCAGGAGGCCATTCAGTTAAATGCAGTTACATAAGAGAAAATGTATTCAGTAATAGGTGGCCCTACCATTAGACGGAGTGAAGCGGCTGCCTCAGGCAACAGATTTGAGATGTCACGAAAAAGCAGCAAATGGTTCTTGGGTGATTTTTTGAATGAAATACTTAAAGAACTTGACTAGCTTTGGGTACTGTTCACCTTGACTAAAGGTCATTTGCTGCTCTGCCTTGGCCAGGTATCATTTGAAACAAACTTAGGAGGGTGGAAGATAATTACAGATTGGGGGAGGGTGAAGCATCTAAGTAAGGTTTAAAAGGCCTAGTTTTATTTATTTATAATCAAGGTTTAAGTCACAGGAAAACCATAGCATTGTATTTTATGAGCTTCTGTTATGGTTACTATATACCTTGTTATCAAAAGTAAAACAATGTTATCCACACAAGTCAGCTTCTTCTATACAAAGACATTTGTGGCTTTCGCACAAAGAGCTAGCACATAGGCCTATTCATTTAAACACGTATTCTTTAGTGTGTAGAACAGCCTTCCCCCAAATTGGTACCCTTCAGATGTCTTGAATTACAACTCCCATTAGCCCCAACTAGAACATTGCAGTTGTGGAGACCCAGTCTGGATGGTGACCACATCACTGGAGGGTGCAATGTACCTTTTCCCAAACTGAAATCTCCCCTAAGGAGCTATTTGCAAAACATTACAAGGGTAAGTAGCAGCCTTGGAGGATGGAAAGTAATTTTAAAGAGGAAAACTGCGAAAGAAGGGATTTCATCCACACACATGCACCAATCCTGGTCTCACCCAATAGGCTTCACTTTGCTCTGCCAATAAGGAGTAGAGATCAAATTCTGTGCTTGTGTCATACACCCATGATGATTGTATTTATAATTAGTTTGTAGATATTTGTCATATATCATCTAACAACATTACTCCTCCAGCCTCCAGCCCAATGTATCCCCAACCAACCAAACCTAATCCACCCCACTTGATAATTTAAACATTGTGTTACAAATGATTGACAGGGCTGAGCAGAATGTTGGACAGAGCTAGAGAAGTGACTGGTAGAGATTGTCATTTAGGAAAATGGCAAACTGACAGCTGGAGACAGGCAGGGGGGAATGGGATTAGAGAGAGATGTCAGTAAATATGTAAACAGAGTAAGGATAGCAGCTAGGGATAGAGGTAGTCTTTTTAGGATAAAACATTTAAACTCTGGAAAGTGTTATATTAGCAAAATAGAATTTGACATGTAATGATCTGTGTTGTGGTCTGGGGGATTTCAAAAGCAGATATATCTCATTCCATGTATGAAGTGACTAGCCTCAGTGCCTATACTTGCCTTCCACTGCAAGAGGCAGTGTGCTTCTGAGTAAGAGTTGCTGAGAATTGCAAGTGAAGAGAGGGCTATTTCAGTCATGTTCTGCTTGTGGGCTTCCTATAGGCATCTGGAGGACCACTGTGAGAACAGAACACTAGACTAAATGTGTCATTGGTCTGATCCAACAGGGCTCTTCTTTTGTTCTTAAGTGGGACTGGGTCCAAGTCAGATTTCCAAGGGAGATTCCTACTGCTCTCTCCAAATCAGTAGGTGGTGGCAGCTGGTATCCAAGGAATGTTTGGACTTAATTGGATTGATGGAAGAGACTAATCTTAGGTACAACCTGATGACAGAGCCTTTCAAAGGGTCCCAGGAACATCATAATGATATATCATAATTCCTCTCAAACATCAAATTAGGTGCTGTGCATTCCTAACTTGATTTATTCCTTGTGTCTGCTTGCACATTCTACTAGTGCAGGGAGTAGGAAAAGACTAGAAACAGATGTCCCTTGGAATGCCCACATGCTCAAAGCCCAATCAAGTGGTACAATCACGAAGCAGCTTTAAAAAGGGTTAACCAGGCTCAAGAAACAATGTTCCTTCCAACCACATCCTGTCTGATCTTCCTACGTTGAGAATTTTCTACTTCAGCTCCATAAATCTGCTCGAAGGAGCTTTCACTTGTCATAGAAACTTGCAAAAATATGGCAACTGAGCCAGAGGTAATATATACCCACAAAGCAGAAAGAGACCCATCTCACTTGAGAGCTTAGCCAATCAAATGAGAGGAGCCCAGGCAGTAGAGGTCATCTCTGCTGGTTGCCATGGCTACAATCTCACCATCATCCTTCCCTCACCTCCCTATACCACAAATTTCCCGTTTCCTGGATGGAAAGAAATGAGCAATGAGGGTCTCGACTTATTTCCAAACATTGCGGAGTCCTTGACATTTCAAACAGGAAAAGAGGCTGCCTGTCTCTTCCTTGCACTAACTGAGCATGGTGGATGATGGCCAGCATATTTGAAATTCCAGCTGCACGGAACTCCAAACACTCTGGGTACCTCACCGTAGCCCCTTAGGACTGCAGGCTTGCCTGCCAAATGCATTGCTTGAGCAAGGCAGATCTGGTTTAAGGGTGATTTTTTCCTATCTTCTCTTTTAATGCTCTTGGATCCAATCTATTCACTCATAACTTTGCTTTAAATATGTAATCAGGTGCCACAGCCTGCCGTGGTGCTGGCCTTGATCTCATAGCCAGTCACGTCTGGGGCTGCTAAACCACTGTCTGGGAACCAGGTTCCTGGTGCTAGCTGATTCAGAGCCCACAGAGCCTGAAGCTGGTGGTCCTGAGCCCATAGAACCTAGGCTATGCTAGCAGAGTAACTTAAAACAATGCAGGTAGAATCTAGAGAGAAAAGAACGTGATAATGCCTTACTGGGTAAACTTAAGAAAACAGTACATGATATGAGGAGAAATAGAGAGGCTTTGTCTTGCTGGTAGTAGCATGATATTCAGCTAAACATACAGAGGGGAAACTCCCTAAGAACTGCACAGCCAATTAGCACATTAGTTACCTCAGCAAGGATCATGCCATTCTGACTGGTTGCTAGGCAACACCTCCACCAACTTCTCTTGATTGGTAGCCAACAGAATAAACCATTAGGTGAAGGGTTCCTACAGTTGTAATTCTAACGAGTTGGTGGTCTAGCGCCCAAGCCAGGACACCCACAGAAGTGTCCCCTGGGCCTGACTCACCTGAGGAACTGAGTGCTTCCCACACAGCCACACCTGCAGAGCACCACAGCAAGTGCTCCGGATAAAAGGCCACGTCAAAGCAAATAAGTACTCAGGCCAGGGGATTAGCCCTTTAAGATCCAGTTTTCAGGCCAGAGGGGTGGAGCTTGGGGAAATGGACTGAGTGAGTGAGTGAGTGAGTGAGTGGAGGAAAGGACTCATTGAGATTTACTTCAGCTCTAGCCTTTGTTGAAACAAGTTTACTGAAAGCTTTATGTAGTGTTGCAGCCGCCTTGGTTACCTGATAGGGATGGGTCAGGGCACAGCTTGGAGGGGTCCCTTACTACATGTGTGGCTGCTAGGACCTCTCAAGAGAAGGAACTGGAGTCCTGGACATTTGCAAAATTGGGGTTTTGCTGGTGGGGTGGGGAGGCCAAGTCATTGAACTGGGCAGGGGAAAAGAAAAAATGTGGCTAGCGAAAGAGGATACGTTCCAAAAATTAGCCACAAAGAGAGCAGAAGGGCGAAGGAACAAGGGAAACACTTGCAGGGCTAGGTGCAGGGGGAATGAACAACTTGTAGTAAAATTAGATAAACTCCCCTCTGGCAGTTTGAACAACCTGCCCTCGGGAGCCTTCACCAGCACCTTATAGGAGGAGGAGATACCCAAGCCTGAAGCTTAATGTGCCTTGTGACTAGTCACCCTGAAGGTGATTCTCCAAACCGGTCTAAAGTCTGCTAATGGAAGAACTTGATGTTAGGTTGTATGTATTATTAATGCCTCTGTAAACAGTTTAAAGAGTACATTAGTACCGGGCTAACTCTTACTCAAGAGCAGAGGTGTCACAGAAAACTCTGACATAACAGCCCCTTAACCAACCCCCCAAGAATGGTCCAAAGATGCAAGCAGCTGCAGACATTAAACAGCAGAAGCAGCACATACTGTATCCGAATACCCAACTTTATTAAACAGCTGACAGTCACGGAATAGTAAACTGGTCTCATCTTCTGATGGCCTCTTTTGTAACCCACTACAATGATTAAAACAGCAGCAGCAACCTGAAAGTCTCCTTGGGGTCTGTTAATTACCCTGGTGCTCCAGCAGATGACGTCTTTGCTCCTGTTCTGAAAAAAGACCTGGAACTGCATTCTCCCTCTACTATACCACTGAGCAGGAGCTGGGTCAGATAGGAGGGAGAGGCAAGAGAGCAAGAGTGGAGTCGTATTATTAATTTATTTAGGCTAACCATTTGCCCTTCATTCATATTCCTGGGTTGGTTTACAAATATATATATCAAACAATCAGAACATGTATGTGCCCTTCAGTTGTGCAAAGGATTGGATGGGATCATCAGGAAGCTCCTGGAATGGTAAAGTGAGGTTTTCATGCTCGCTCCTAGCCAACCTGAACTAAGGGATGAAGAGCTGATGTGCCTCTGACTCCTCCCTCTTGTGTGTTTTTCATGTGATCCTGCCCAAGTGGTGAGATTTATTATCTGCAGTAGAAAGTATCCAGGGCCAAACATGAACACCTTAGCCCTGATACCTCTGTACTGCTCAAGGTAGTACAGGTCAACCTTTTCAAACCCAGGAACAGCTTTGGGATCCTATTAATTTTGTAACCACCCGCAGCCATCTTTTATGGAAGTTGTTTTATGCCAACATTTCAAAACCTGGTGCCCTCCAGATCTTTTGGATTACAACTCCCATCAACCTCAGCAAGTGTCACCAATGATCAGGAATGATGGGAGTTGCAGTCCAACAACATCTGGAGGTTGGGGGAGGCTGACTCATGTAAATGATTAGCCCCGGGTCGCCAATGTGGCGGTGCCCTCCAGATGCTGTTGGGAGTACAACTACCATAATCTCTGAACCTTGACAATGCTGGCTGGGAGTTGGAGTCCAACAACACTTGGAGTGCCATTGGTTTCCCATCCCTCGCCTTCCACTTGCAAATCATTTGCTGTGCAAGACAAGTGCTTTCTGGGTTACAAAAACGTTAGCGCTAATTGGCAGAAAAGAATAACTATTTACTTAGAAAATTCACATTTTCATTCTCATAATTCCGATAACCTTCTTGAGTTGATAGCTGCTATAAGAGTTTTCTGAGCCATGCCTTATCATGTTTTAAGAATGAGTAAGATTCCCTCTTTGATAAATATTTAACATATCAAAATGCTTTGGGAATCAAAACAATCTATGCAGTTGCTTGTTTGGCATTATATTTTGGGGTGATCCATGAGTGGTCCGGGGGTGGTGGTATACTAATACTAATAATAATAAAATAATAATAAATATTTATACCCCACCCATCTGGGCAGCTTACAGTGCATATAAAAACATAGTAAAACGTCAGACATTAAAAATTTTCTGTTACAGGGCTGCCTTCAGATGTCTTCTAAAAGTTGTGTAATTCTTTATCTCCTTGACATCTGATGTGAGGGTGTTCCACAGGGAGGGCGCCACTGCTGAGAAGGCTTTCTGCCTCACTTCTCGCAGTGAGGTTACAGCTAGGAGACCCTCAAAGGAAGACCTCAGTGTTCGGGCTGAGCGATGGGGGTAGAGACGCTCCTTCAGGTCTGCTCTTTGGACAAGCTACCAATGATACGCAATCATGGATCAAACACAGCTGAAAACATTTTCTAGCACAGAAGAAACCACCACATACTTCAAGGATTCTGTCTCTGACTATGATTTTAAGCAAGAGATTCAATAATGGATTAAAACTTATGAGAAGGGAACAAACCTCTGAAATAACCATGTTGTAGTAGATTCTGGTGTAATAATTTCTGCAAGAAGCTGCACCACAGAATCTATGACAGGTCAAGAAATAAATTGGTGCTGTTTAAATCTGCAGCCTCAGGCTGCTGAAAAGATTGCCTTAAGCTGGAGACATCACTGGGGATGTCATACTGTACTTCCTTTCTTTTTTAAATCAGGCACAACATTTTCCCACAAGGGTTTTTGCAGCTGGCTTTGTACAATTTATTCTTTGCACAGGATTTGTACATCTGATGAATTATGTGATCCATGGCAATGTTTTTGGTACGCATGTACAGCCGTGCCTGTGCCATAGAATTGGAAAATGAAAAAAAGAAACAGTTATTTGTTAGCAGGAGAGTATATGTATATTAAGAGTCTGAGAACTGTTCACTCTGCATCTGGACAAATGAAGTTGTGGAAAGACAACAAGGAATGTACACAAAACCAGGAATAATTACACAGATTTGTAATTTTTCTCATTAAGCAACTCTTGAGTTTTCCCACAATTCAGAATATTTGGGCAGAACCATATGCCAGTACAGGAGTAGATGTTGGTGGAAAGGGCCTGGGAAGTAAAGCTTCAACTTATGAGAGACTCACTAAAGTCTTTTATAGAATTTCCTGGGAGTCCATACCATTTGAACCTACGACTGACTTTTGAGTAACCACGAATAGACTGTGTGTGGAAGAACATGTAGTCTACATAGAAAAAATCCCTGGTATGACTCAGGAAAAGGCACTTTCGTGTGTTCAATTTAGGGGTTTCTTTTCCCAGTTCTTGGACTGATCCCCCCCCCCAGGTTTTGGTCAGCAATCAGGAGGACAACTTTTCTTCCCCTCCAAATGGAAATTCAAAGGATAAAATATCTGTCCCCAGATGCTGCCCTTGATAGCTGAATTCTATTATTCTATTTATTGTTTTTCTTAATGTTTAGATATCACTTTTCTTCCATCGTGGAGACCAAGATGGCATATATGTAGTTTCTGGAAGTTCTCCCATCCAGACACTTACTGGGCCTAGATCTGCTTAGCTTCAGCCAGGTGTTGGTCCCACATACCTTCCATATCGTGGGATCCAAGGGTTGCAACTCCTGCAATTTATACAGCATGAAGAACAACTGGATGTTTTGGATGGTTATCCAGATGGCACTGGAAATTCAAACATTTTTTAATGGGGCTTATAATTATCCCAATAATAGTTTTTGTAGACTGAGCAGATTCTACATCCTAAGCAATGGTAATTTTGTGTATTTGCTCCTTCCCTCAGAAGACCTACAGACCTGATCATTCAAATGTAAACATGTGCCTTTCCTGGCATCTTTTGCTCTGCCCACTTTTGCTTCTGATTCTGCTGAGAAACTGATATTTTAAAAGTGATATATTACATGAAACACATTAAAGGAGTGCTATTCCACTGGTGGGAGCACCTTATTTGCTCGTCAAAGTGGCGTACCTATTTTCAGTGGTGAAATGCCAAGGGCCTGTAAACAAGAACCCCATTGTTGGATGACTTCTGGCATTAAATATTGTTTGCTGATAGCATCTATCACATGCAGTGGGAATGCATTTTTGAATGTTTCAGAGGATTTCAGTAATTATTATCACGGCTGGAAAATGAGCTAGGAAACTGACTCTGCCCTCCCCAGGAAGAGAGGCCATTTCTTCAGCATTGCCACTTTAATTTCTTAGACTCTCTCCTCTGATACAGAGACTGTGAATGTGGCACTTCACTTGCTTTAGAAACTTGTGGTTTGGCAGGTAGAACTTGGTCAGGTTTTGCCATTTCAAAGCCAGCCTCACCAACTCTGCCTCCCTATTGTAAGAGCCAATCAATCTTCCCATTTCTTTAGGAATAAGAGTTGGGAATTCTTAGTGCACAGAAATATCTGATCCACATATATAATGCTTCCCTCCCATCCTCTCTGTCAGGCCCTTCTCTCCAGGCTCTGCTCCACTCCTTTATTGAATCCGTTTCCCTGGCTGGAATGTGTCCTTGAACTCAGATAATACCTCTGGCTTGCCTGGATTGAGAGATGTTTGTAAATGGAATGTAGCCTGCTCCTGTGCCTGGAGACAGTCAGATCGTGTATCCACAGCAGCGACTAGGGGAGGAATGACTGCTGGGAGAAGCATAGAAAGAAGAATTGCCATGGTACACCTGCATCAGCACAACTGGATGCCTTCATTTGCCCCACCTGCAACAAAACATGTCTCTCTCATATCAGCCTCTACAGCTACAACAGGCAATGCAACTCCAATGGATTGACTTCACCTCCAAAGGCATACTCCTCCATTGTCTCCTGAGACAGATGGACACCAACAACAAAGCTTGCTCTACAAAGGTAATAGTCATATCTTTTGTTCTGCCCACTTTTGCTTTTGTTCCTACCTATTCTTGGCTTTGGCCTCACCCACTACTGGCATGTGGTACCTGGAAAGTTGCTCATGAGGGAATGTGGCCCTTGGACTGAAAAGGGTTCTTTGCCTTTGCTTTAGAACAAACTTGGCCCTTGGTTTTGAGACTACAATTCCCATCATCCCTGACTACTGTTCCTGCTAGCTAGGGATCATGGGAGTTGTAGGTCAAAAACATCTGGAGGGCCGAGTTTGAGGAAGCCTGCTTTAGAATGTGATGTATTGAGTACTAAAGGGGGAATCATGGGGGATATGTTAGGCATCTGTTTGGCCACTGGATGCTGGACTAGATGGGCTATTGGCCTGATTCAGCAAGCTGTTCTTATGTTCCTACGTCTTTTGATGGCTATTAGTCACCAATTTTAGGCTCTCCAGATGCAAAAGAAAACAGGGCTCCTGCACCTTTAATAATTACCGGTACGTAGAAGAGAGGATAATGCAGGTGTTACTTGTCAGACAAACACCACCTATTGAAATTCCCCTTTCTACACTATAATTAAAGGTGCATGAGTCCTATCCTCTTTTGCACCTGGCCATCACATTCACCATGCCTAAACAGAGAACCTCTGCACTGAATACCAGTTGCTGAGGCAGTCAACATTTGGAGAGGACTACTGCATTCCTGCCCAGGTGGTGGTATTCCTGGAAGCAATCTGGTTGGCCACTGCGAGTGGTGTGATGCTGTGCTTAAATGGACTTTTGGTATGATCCAGCAGGGCTCTTTGTACAGTGCTAACGTGTCTCATTCAGGATTTTCTGAATGGTGAAATATGCGCAAGTAGGTAGGTTGCTTCTTCCTTCCTTTATAATCACACACATCATCACTACATCATGCAAGAGAAATGTCTTAAAATAAAAATAGGAGACTACATAAGAGGGTGATTTCTCATCCATCCTCAATGAGCCTTACAGGGGTGATACACCACTGAAATCTACTCTTCTACACAGCTAATAAAGGTGCACAAACCCCTGTCCTCTTTTCAATCTGCTTTACAGTGGAACCTCCGGATACGAATTTAATTCGTTCCAGGGGTCCGTTTGCACCCCGAAAATTACGTAAATAGAGGCACGCTTCTGCACATGGTGCAGCTGAGCACTTCTGTGCATGCACATGCATTCTCTGGGAGTAACCCAAAGACTCCATATCCAGAGGGATACGTAAGTAGAGGAACGACTGTATATGCTAGGAGTGGGAAATTGGAAGAGAACTCAAAAGCAGGAGATGAAATGATTGTTGTTAACTCTCCACCATGAGTTTATCAACTGTCATTTTCACATCAACAATTTACAAGGCATTGCCAAGCATACTGATTTACATGACCCTTCACACTTTGCATTTTTGTTTAAAGTCATACCATCCTGGAATTTCATTTACTTTGCTCCAGAGGCAGCAGCTGGTGTCACTTGTTATTTTCATTTTTTTAAAATTGCATTCATTGATGTCTCCAAGTGCCATTCTTTCCTTTCTGTTCACATCAAAGGAGCAGACGTGCCTGTGAATGGCAGCAATGTTCCTGTTGTGTTCCCTCTTCTTCTTCTTCTTCTTCTTTTTTTTTTTTGTTAGTTATTGCTGTAGCTGGTTCATTTTCGTCTCCATGAAAAGCAAACACAAGCTCTACAAGAGGTTCATTGCATATCATCATTTCATTACAGGGAAGGTGCTACTGAAAAGGCACCCCCCGGCAGCATTATTCCTCTTTTCTCTGCATGTCATGATGTAGCTATCCAAACTGGCATCGTTCTGCTCATATCAGTACTTTACACATTCAGAAGCAACAATGGAAACACGAGAAAAACATTTGTAACCTGCAAAGCTCACAGTAACAGGTTGCTTAGAGAGGGGATAGTCTGTTGCAGCAAACACATCAAAGCATTTTGCGACACCTTAAAGATGAACAGAAGCTTTGGTGGACTAGCGCCAACTTTGCCAGGTGCATGAAGTGTTATCCTTAGTTAGCAGACAGATACACAGATACACATTGATATGAAGAAGAAAGTGGGGCCAAATGGCAATGGAATGAAACGCAGCACAATCTGTGACAACTCACTCTCTGAAGAGCTAATCCTTATGTAACCAACACAACACCATCCATGCACAAGAGAGAGGGATTGGCAGGCTTAGGAGAACCTCAAGGTTTGCAGAAGTACAAAAACACTTGAGAAAAAGAACCCAAAGCAGCAGTGGGAGAGTTCCAGAGACAGCCTAAGGAGGCCTGAATGCTCAGTGGGCAGACAACAGCAAGCATCTGTTGAGGGGGAGAGATGGAAGCCCTTAGGCGAATGGCATGGAGTACTGTGGGAAAGGGCATGGCTAGCTGGAATCTTAAACAGGAACACTCCACAATGTTGCTTCTCTCTCCCCCCTTTCTTTTGTAGACCTCAACTCCTCTACGTAAAACTTGCATGTATGTAAGTGCAGTGGCTATTTGCTACTCACTGCTTGCAAGAGGAAAGGCACAAATTCTATTCTGATCTGCCAAAGTTTCCTACCTGATTCCCTGGAACTGATCCTGAGTAGTCACTACAGGTAACTTGACAATTGGATTATTTCCATTTTTGTATAATACTATAGTGTAAATGCATTGCCCTTTTGCTTGGTCCTTCTGGCACTGTTCAGAAGTGATGCAGTTACATAATATTAGACTTACAGATTTAATACTATTCTTGGTTGTGGTGGGGAGGATTTTCAGAGGGTAATGTCTGTATTGCTTCAGAACTATGATAAGCCAGCCCTGCAACATTTGGGGGGGGGGCTCCAGCTCATTCTGCTGAGCTTCTGCCCCTAAGTCTTGCTCTGCTGGCACCAATGCTGTTCTGATGTGCCAGAACAAGGGTGTCATACTTCACTTGCAATTTAAATTAAGATATTTAAAACTACTGATATTTTAATTTCCCATTACCGTTGTCAGGTATGCTGTCAACATGCCAATTTCCTTGGGATGAAATACTTGCGGCAAGTCTATTAATGAGGGGGCGAAGAAGGAACAGCAGAGATTTTCCTCCAGTTTTTAAATTGTATTGGGCATGCTTTGCCATGCTGCACACATGATCCCTGTGGATGTTGGCCATTAACCTCCCACTGTGACCTTGACATCGCAGTGGTGCAATTCCTTCTGGTTACTGTGCACCTACCTATCTGGTGACTTTTGAATAAATAAAAAGGAAGCTGTTTTATTTTTAACACATTTCCCACATTTACAGTGGGCAGTCCTGACCTCTGGGTCAGAGATTTCCTAGCAATTACCGTAAATAACCAAACCAAAGAGATTTTGGCCACTTCTGTTGGCTAGAAATATTGATGAAGGTCCAGGCCTTGCAAAGCTTTGGCATGGCATGCCTCTTTAAAAATAAGTCTGCATTTCACATTCCAAGAATCTGAAGGGCCCTATCTTGTGGGAAATACTTTTCATATAAAGTCTGCTTGGTGCTCAAAGGCAGTGGTAGTCATTCAGTTTCATGATGACTTGGGAAAGCAAGCATGTGACTGCAATAATATGGCTAGATACAGGGTAACCCCTTCCACAAGACCTATCATGCTTCTAGTCCTTAGTGCATGGGTGGCTAACTTCTGCCACCTCCCAAGCATATTCTTAATAACCCCCAAAGTTCCCACCAGGTTTGGTGGCAGCAGCAAAAAGAATGCACAAATAAATTACCGGTAGATGCACTGCTTTGATGGACAAAGAGGTTTAAGCAGCTCTGCCCAACCCAGCACCCTGATGAGAATGCAAATTTCGTCTATGGTCATCAGACTGATAAAGTGATGAATGGTTGGGGGGGGGCAAAAACTGCCCTCTTGAACTGATCTTCATGCATCTGCTACGGAGGGTGTATGTGTGTGAGAAAGTGGGATGGTCTCATTTGCTACTGGTGTGCATGCTCCAGATAGTTGGCCAAGGGTGAGTGTGGCCCTCAAGTCAAAGAGGATTAACACACACACCCCACCCCCGTGTTAGGATTGCAGAGGAAAACCGGGGGGGGGGGTACTTAAGGTTAGGTAAAGGTAAAGGTACCCCTGCCCATACGGGCCAGTCTTGCCAGACTCTAGGGTTGTGTGCTCATCTCACTCTATAGGCCGGGAGCCAGCGCTGTCCGCAGACACTTCCGGGTCACGTGGCCAGCGTGACGAAGCTGCATCTGGCGAGCCAGCGCAGCACACGGAACGCCGTTTACCTTCCCGCTGGTAAGCGGTCCCTATTTATCTACTTGCACCCGGGGGTGCTTTCGAACTGCTAGGTTGGCAGGCGCTGGGACCAAACGATGGGAGCGCACCCCGCCACGGGGATTCGAACCGCCGACCATGCGATCGGCAAGTCCTAGGCGCTAGGGAACCTTTTTCAGCCTGAGACCCACATATCCTTGTATGACACCTTTCAGGATCCACATGCCAGTGGTGGTCAGAACAAGGATGTGACTCCTACCTTTGTACAGTAGGCTACACTGCAGCCATGCAAAAGTTAATGATTTGTACACATGCAGAGAGAGAGAGGTAAGCAATGAATCATCTGCACAATTCAAAAACACATTCAGCCAGGCAAAACCACAAGGAGGGCATGCAGCAGGGCAAATATGGCATTCTGGGGACAGTCCTGAGGCTGGATAGCAAGCAATGAGGCATTATCAGGGTTCAAGAACATTCAGCCAGGGAAATGGTAGGATTCATGGCTGTTTTCCTTCTCATTTCATTTTTACAGTAACCCTCTGAGGCAGGTTAAGATGAGATACACTGATTGGCCCATGATCACTCAGTGAGCTTCATGGTTGAGCAGGGATTCAGATCCTGTTTTACTTGATCCTAGCCCAAGAATGGGGAACCTCAGGTCCCAGGACCCCAATGTGGTCTGCCAGGCCTCTTGGGACTCTTCACAGGCTGCACCCGCTCTGAAGCCACCCCCCCTCACCTGCTTTGCATTCTCATTGAGTGTTTTCACCTGGCCAGAATGTCTCTTTGATTTCTGATAATGCCTATTTCATGCCTGGATAGAGGAAAGAGAGGAGTGTTTGTAGAAACTAACCTACTGCACAAAGGTAAAATTTGCATTCATTTTGTCCACTTTTGCCACTGGCCACACACACTCATTGTCATGTGGCCTTCAAGCTGCAAGAAGTTCCTCCCCAATCTCCTAGCTCTACATCAGCCTTCCCCAACCTGGTGCCCTCCTGGTGCTTTGGACTACAGCTCATAAACTCCAGCTGCAGTAGTGTGCTAGAAAGGGTGCCCTACAGGAATAGTGCAATCCTATTCATGTCTATTTAAAAGTCCCATGTGAATGTGAATGACTTCCCAGGTAAATCTGTACAAGACTGCAGGCTAATGCATGTTAGTCATTAAAAAACGTGGTAGTTAACAGGGAATGAATGCTGGTAATTGGTTCTACGCGGTTATCAGACCTACGCGATTCTCAAGCTGAGATTCCTTACTTGAGAGTAACACCCAGTGTCTCCCTCACCCCCGGATTCAACAGGACTTGCTTTCCTGCAAACACGGTTTAGCTAGGATCGAACTGCCACTAACAGCGCACTCCTTCGCCCTTTTACAAGGAAGTAAGTCCCGTGATATCTAATGTGGATGGGCGGGCAGGACTTTCTACCAAGCATGCTTAGGATCGCACGCAGCAGGATGAAGACGCCAGAGCGGCGGCGATGATTGCGGATGGATGACTTAATAGGGAATTTACGACGGCGGGAGCATTTGGAGGAGGAACTGCGGGGAAGCGAGGTACTACTACCTGGAGCAGCTGCGAGGAGGTGGGCTTTCTTGCTCCTCTCCGCCCTTCCCCGGAGCGAGCGGGCCCCGGGCTGGGCCGGAGAATCAGCCGGAGTCGAGGAGGAGCCACCCTCTCCTTCCCCGCTAGGCCGAGCAGCCAATAAGGCGCCAGGGGCCGGCATTCAGTTCCTCCTTCCCGGGGAGAGCGGAGCCCGACGCTGAGTGTGCTGGTGGAGCAGGGGAAACAAGCGGCGGCGCAGAAAGTCTTCGGGCGCCCGAGTAGCCCGCAGCGCCGAGAGGCGAAGGGCGGCAGTGGCCGAGCGCAGCGCCTGACTGCCCGGCCGCCCTACTCACAGCTCCGCCGCAGCGCGCGTAAAGAAGCCTGAAGCGCGGCTGGAGGCGGAGGAAGGAGAGATCGAGATCCCCTATTAGCCGGACTTGCAGCATTTCTCGGGGCTCCGAGGAAGCAGCCGCAATGCCGCTTGCCCAGCTGGGAGCGGAACCTTGGCCCGACATGGAGCTGGTGGACATGGAGCTGGACGCAGAGGTGAGAGGTGGCGGCGATGGGGCTCCGGAGGGAGGGAGGGAGAGGGGCGCTAGGTGAGTCGAAGGAGGCGGCGGTGGGGCATCGCCTGCCTGCCTTCCCTCGGAGGGCGAAGGTCTCCTGGTGACTTTTTTCCAGGATTGCCTGCAAAGGAGTGGCGTCTGCGCCCGTCTCCTAGTTGCGCCTCCGCGCAAAGGACCGAGAGAGCGCGTGTTCCAGCTCTCTTATTTGCAGGCTGGGATTGGGTTGTGGGGCTGCTGTGAGTTGGGGAGCGGGTGGCAGTGTGTCGAGCGCCTCCCCCCGCCCCTTTCAGGCAAAAGTCACTGCATAGGTTGACACACAATCTGTGAAGAAGCGGGTCGGATTCTCTTTGATTGTATGTATAAGTTTCGTTATCTTTGTCCTTTGGCCCAATGAAAGCGGTTGCTTGCCTCTCCTGGAAACTATTGCAGAAAAAGCTCTTTCCTGCAATTAAAAAGTAACCCAACCCGCATCATTGGGCTGATCAATGTGTAGCTTTATATGTTACGTCGGAGACCTGCAGCTAATGGTTAGGTACTTCCTTCCTTCCTTCTTTCCTTCCCCGGTTGGAAAAGAGTTGAAGGAGGGCCGGGGGGGGGCGGGAAGGAAGAGAGAGGATTGCTTTTCCCGATCCTCGGTTGAATATGCCCACAAGCAGACTTCCAGTTGTCGTGACACGATTGAGTTATTCTCTTTAAGCAGAGCAGGAAGAGTCTGAACATTAAGAATCCTGGAGGGGATTTTATTCATTCTACCCTGAGGTTGAGGCATTAATGCACTGCATTGATCTTAGCTTGCCACACCAAGGTTGTTGTAACTTTGCCCCCTTGAGGAATAGCATCCTTGTGGAGTTGCATCTGGGCCTTAGAAGGGTGTTTAAAAAGAAGAAATCTCAAAACTTCTGGCTCAAACTATTTTTAAGGACAACTTCCAGCTTTGCTCCAAAGGTATGAATAATTGAGGCTTCCAGGCCTGACTCGGATAGAGTTTATTTAATGCTTGCCTGAAACAGCTGTGTGGTAAGATCTGATGTAAATAGAAAGGCAGGTGGAAAGTGGGGAGGGGGATTGGATTGCAAATCTCCGAAGCAGCAGGTTAGCAGTCTAAACACACTGGAGGGTTCCCCACCCACCCCAAAGTGGTAATGTTTTAACATCTAAGGCAAGGAACCCACATAACTCTCAATCCATATATTTAGAATTCATTTTCTATCATAAGAATGCAAATGCAAGCTTTTACAGCTTAGTGAGGAGGGTGAGCCAGGCTGAGTAGGGCTCAGTGATTCATCCAAAGTAATGAAATTGTGTCTTGAGTATTTATGTGCGACACTTTTATCCCGCTCTTCAACTAAAGGGATCAGGATAGCCCATTTTAGCCTCACAACAACCATGTTAGGTGGGTTAATTTGTGAGATGGTGAGAATTGCCCAAGATCACCCAGTGAATTTCATGGCTGAATGGGGATTTGTACCTCCGTTTCGGACCTTAGTCAAACATTCTAAACTTAGTAACCCACATTTGCTCTTGAGACTGTGAACTTGTGTTCTTGTCTGTCGTGGTGTGGCTTGGCTTGTCACCTAGGAATGGTCTGGGTGACAGTCCCGCAAACCAGGATTGGTAGGGTGCCAGCCCCTGCATTTTTTACTTTGTTATAGAAAGGTGTTGTTCTGAAAGCCTGTGGAATGGTTCTAAATATGTCCTTGGTCAAATGATCAGGCATCTCCATCAGGCACCTGGTCTGCACATGCAAGTAGTTGTTGTTGGCATCTGTCTGTCTCTAGAGACAATGGAGTGCACTTCTGAGGGTGAAGTCAAACAGCTGCGTAAGCAGCACCCATGTGACCTCCCTAGGCCGTATGCAGTGGTAGAGGCCTGAGGTGGAAAGATGGGCTATGTTAGAGAGTGCCCAAGGGAAGTCTACCTCCTCCCCTACAAAACCATCTTGGGTGTTAAGATTGGCTTGCTCCATCTTGGTTGCTCCACTGCCTTCAGAAGTTTGGGGGTAGCAGTGACCCAGGATAGGGAATTATCTGTGGCAGCCTCTAAGTTGTGGAACTCCCTCAGCATAGAGGTACTTCTAGTATCTTCATTATACAGCTTTCAGCAAAGCATCTCTTTATGCTGCCTTTTGACACGAGTGGTATATTTTTTAGGACCCACATTATTTCTGTGATTGTAAGTTGTTATAAACTGTTTTTAATATTGTGTTTTTGTTTTGCCCTGGAATCTTAGAGTGAAGAGTGACTAATAATTATTATTATAAGAATAATCATAGCCTGCTGCCTGCTGGTTCACTGGATGGCATTGTCAGTGTTGAATAAAAATTCGACAGCAAATCTAGTTGGCTGCTTATGAAGAATGAGAGGGTGCTATCTTGCCCTTTACCTCAGGCAGGAAAATGTATTGGGCTGCTGGTCCTGGACTTACACCACTTTCAACTGCAGGCAGAATGCACTTCTGAATTCTCCCATCTTGCAATGTGGCGGGGGGGGGGAAACTTTTCGCAAGTAGAACAATAGAAAATGGTAATGCTCTGCAGAGCCTTGCTTCCCTTTGACCTGCCAGGAGTTTTTGTGCTGTTCCTATATGAAGGTAGGTAGTGCTTTAAGTGGCACAGTCCTCTCTGCCAGTTCAGGATTCTCATTCTGCTGTACCTGCAGACCAGGGCCACATCTGTATATTATATTTCTCTTATACCACATTAACAGTCATGGCTTCTGACAAACATTCTAGGAGCTGTAGTTTGTTAAGGGTGCTGAGAGTTTTCCCAGAGTGGCCAGGCAGGGCATTGTAAGAATGGCAGCTCTGTGAGGGAACAACTCTCAGCACCCTTAACAAGCTACAATTTTCCAACATTATTGGTATAAGAGTGCTTTAAATGTGTGGTGAAGATTGTGTCGTGGGTCTCTCAATCTTTTCCCCATGCTAGGATACCAAGGTGGCTCTGCAGTCCTTTTGTAATGCACAAGAATGAGCTAGTCCAAAGAGGGAACATGAGCATATGAAGAATTCAGACTATCCATCCTTCAAGTTTAGCATTTTCCACACTGGCTACCAGTGGTTTTCCAGGGTCTCGGGCAGAGGGAGGCTTTCCTCTTATCCTGCTCTCTGAACCTTTTAAATGAAGATGTCTGGGATTGAATTTGGGACCTTCTGCTTGCCCTAACTTCCTTCTGAATCAAATGTGCATAGGATTGGGCTGATTAATGGCTGACTGTCTGGCAAATGGCATACTGGTGCTCTGGTTGCAAGGAACCCTGACAGTTCTCCTTTAATGCTTTGCAGTGTGCTTGCTGCCATGCAGAATCTGGAGGCTATGCTGTAAGCTCCTAGTCTCAGTCTCATTTAGGACAGAGATAAGGCAAATCTTGATCAGTGCTTTATGTGGGTGGTGTGTTGGGTGTGTGTGTGTTGTTCTGTTAAGGTGAACCTTAGGGTGGGGCACTGAAAGGTAGTGTTATTTTGAAGAGGTTATATTTAAAACTCTAGCCTGAGGTAGCTGCCTTTCTCTGCCTAATGATAAAGCTGGCCTGCTAATAAAGTTTTTCACAGGTTAACAATTTCCAGAGGGTTAGCCCAAATAGGTGTGTTGTAGCAAGACTTTTGTTCTTTCCTGGTTAGTAAGGTTTGTGAGCTTATTTACAAGGCTGCTCTAACTTTTTCAGACCTGGACCCACCAGGCATTTGGGGATCCTTTTATTTTAACCACATATTTTTGGTTTGGTAGTGCTGTTGCTACAGCTCATCTTAGATCAGGCTGTGACTCAATAGTGGGTCCTGACCCACCAGTTGCAGGCCAGTGCCCTAGGCTACGTGCCCAGGAGTTCCTAGGCTGTTGGTTCAGGAGTGTTAAAACACACTCAGGACTTTGAGACTGTTGCCTGGAAAGTGGGAGTGTCTCCTTACTGTGAAGACTAGAAGAAGCTAGCAGGGTTGATTATGCGGCCCATACTGGCTACTGCCAGCCACCTCTGTTAGCAGGAACCTGACATACCACGAGCATTCTGCCTCTTTTATAAATTTTAAGAATTTGAATGTTCCGCAAAGAAGAATTAGAAGCCTACACTGAGAGTAGGGCAACCTTTTCAGCTCAGGTGCCACATTCCCATCTGGGAGATCTTGCTGAGGCCACATACCAGTGGTGGGTGGGACCAGAGGAAAACATGGATGAAGCAAGCAACAAATGACATTCCAGCCAAGCAATAACACGAGGTAGGAAGTATGGTTGGTGAGGGGTGTGGCTTAGGAGAAGGTGTGGCCTTGAGAAGGGCCAGATAGAGTAGTTTAAAGGGCTGCATTTGGCTCCCAGGTTGGAGAGCCCCATCCCTGTCCTAAACAGTGCTTCAATTTATGTTAATTAAGGCACCCAGGGTGCTCCTTGAATGAGAAAGAGGAAAGGGCTCATGAGAGGGAAGGTTGGAAGGACATCTTACTAAGTTAAAGAACATTGGATTTTTTTCAGTTGCATACAAAATGTACAAGGGTGTGTAATATTCATAATTATGTTGCACACCATTTCCCTATCCACCCAGCCTAGAAGCACTAATGTGGAGCGGCATTATTTGTAGATTTCAGTTTTGTCTGATTCCTTGTATTGGAAGGAAAGGATACAAAGGAGGGTGAATGTCCCATTTTATCCCCTTTGTTGACTGTCTGGTTTACCCTATTGATTACCTGGTTTATGCTAATACATTTTTGGTTGTTTGAGATACAGCTAGTCTTATGAGAACTGCAGTTTTATTGTAAGACTTTTCTGCAAAATACACAGTTCATTTTGAGGCGGACTGGCTTGACGCACACACAACTGGAACAGCCATTGATCTGTTCAAACCTGACTTTGCCAACCTTTGCCCGCACGTGCTTGTTTAAAGGCATCACTACTTTCCCTGTCTATTACTATTTATTCTAAACCAGTTGGCTCAATGCAGTAACCAAAGGAGTGGTTAAACTTTACATTAGGTAAAGGGAAAAGGAAGAAATGCA